GCTTAATTGCACCGTTTCTCATACCGTTAAATATCTTGATCTTGTGCACATTATCGTTTACAAAAATATGGCCGTTAATACAAAATTCACCGAATCCCGCAGGTTTACCAGCGAGGGTTCGCCAGGAGCACTTTGGACATTAATTTATGGTTCTACTCTACAATAACCCTGGACATCATCGTGAATTGATTATAGTATAACGTTAAGAAGAAGTGGCAAATGTGAAAAAGATCAGTCAGCGGCGTCTAGTCAATGCCACACACATTGTTTTGCAGGGCATGCGTGACTCAAAATGACCTTTTATTATAGTTTTCTTGCTCAACCGATCCCCTAAGAGTCATTGAAACGATTTCTAATATCAGTCATCTGAATTCCTGATATATATCGGAAAAAATTGTAACAATTTGCAATTGACAACGATTACAAAGGTTGAAGCATAATGAACAGGATACAGCGAATATGAGTTTATGAATTTTTCTTTTTTCGTCGAGTGTAGTTCACTATGTTTTCCGCGTCACCAACGACTTGTTTCAGGAAGATACTGAGAAAGTTCTTATCAACTTTTCTCGTCAAATCTACTATTGCACAAAACACAAACTGTGTCGCTTAATTGCACCGTTTCTCATACCGTTAAATATCTTGATCTTGTGCACATTATCGTTTACAAAAATATGACCGTTAATACAAAATTCACCAATTCTTCACAGGTTTACCAGCGAGGGTTTGCTAGGAGCACTTTGGACATTAAACTATGGTTCTGCTCTACAATAACCCTGGACATCATCGTGAATTGATTATATAACATTAAGAAGAAGTGGCAATTGTGGAAAAGATCAATCAGCGGCGTCTAGACAATGCCACACTCACTGTTTTGTAGGGCTTGCGTGACTCAAAATGACCTTTAAGTTTTCTTGCTCAACCCCTAGGAGTCATTGAAACGATTTCTAATATCAGTCATCTGAATTCCTGATATATATCGGAAAAAATGGGAGTGGGAAAATTCGATGAACTTTTCGTGACCCAAACTGTTGTTATCAAATCAGGTGACTTCGCAGAAAAACNAGTAACCCCACAGAAGCTGGAGTATAACTATAAACATCCTCTACTTCTACTAAAGCTTCAACAAAGCCCTAAAAATTCAGCGTGATTGCTATCCCTCACAACCTTCAGTTTTCTGGCGATTCTAATGACCAACGATTACTAAGAAAATGAGGGAAAGTCGGATTCGCGAAAAATGAGAACCAGTAAACAAGTCAACAAGGACTCGATGTAGATCGAATATCTACGGGGGAGGGCGGGAGGGCGCCAACACGCAAATGAACATTGGCCCTTCTCCGATGATCATTTTAATTGTACAATCATCATTGAAAGTAGTTGATGAAACCTGAGTACTGTGAACATAATACTAGTAATTGTAACAGCAAACCACATTGAACTGGGAAGTATCGCGGAAACCGCGAGCTCGTGCAAAACGAGAAATTCTTTCTCTCTCCCATAACATGAGCGAGCTTATCTGGGAGAAAACAGAATATCTAAACGGCGACGTATGAGACAACACAGGCAAGCTATAAATACATTGCCTGGAACGTAGCGACCAACCTTTATCATTTTTTTCAGCCTTACACGCTCATCTTTTGCGAACTTACTACTCCTCGAGACCAAGTCTAGCGATTCTTGTTTCCTAGCGAGAGCATCGCTCTAAAATTCGCTCAGAGGTTTCTGGTGGTGCAGGAGAATTGAGATTCCTTTTAGGTACCTAGGATGTCTGAGATTTGAGCTTAAACTTCAGTAGTCCCTCCTCTTGATCGTTTTTTTATTGTAACTCCTTAGTTTAGCAACAAAGTTTTGTGATAGCTATTTCACTGCTATTTTCAACGCGTGGCAATTAGCCGAATCACGGAAACCTATTTTTCAAGTTCAAGCTTATACGGTCTAGCTCATAGCGAGGACCGTTTCGGTTTTTTTAAACTGTACTTTTGACTTATTTTGAAACAATAAAGAAAATACATTTACTACATGTCACTGACAAAAGTTTTTGCAACTTTTACAAACAGCGACAACAGAAAGTCATAGGATATCGCTGAAAAAAGATGCGGAGGCCAGCCGTTGTACAAGTCGAAGCTCTTAGCGCACAGGTGAACTTGTACATAAAAGACAAGCCTGACCCCAGAGGAATGAAAGGTCTGGTTGACAGTGGGCGGTTGTAGATCCAGGATTAGATCACCGGACCATGCAGGAGGTAGTGCAACATGACGCTATACTCCCATCGCCTACTGTTTACAAGCTACAACTCAGTCGAACTCATAAAAAAATAAACAAAGAGAACAACATGAAACAGTGATCTTTGACGTCCTCAGGAAAACCAGTCCTGAATGGAGCACTCGAGCCCACGCTATTTAGATATTCTGAAGTGGCAATGCCAATTTTGAGTTAAAGAAGAAAAAATTCAAATGAGAAATGACAAATGTTTATTTTGTTCAATTTGTTCTTCGCTCAGCCTAATCAATTTCAATACTGCATGTTCATCAGAGTTTTTATAAGCGAATGATTGCGACATGTAAAAGAGAATTGTGTAAACATTTCGGTTGACTAAAAACCCACGAGAAAAGGTCAGCAAAAGTGTTAAGAGCAAGGCTCAAACACCAAAACTCTCGCTTCGAATGTTAAAGAGCTAGACGGCCGGAAGCTCTGAAGAGCAAAACAAGCCGACATGTCAAAAACAGCTGGAAATTTTCAGCCTGCTTAATGAAGTCTTGACGCAAGATAGGAGAAAAATAGCTAGATAGGTCTCTGCATTCGGAAAAACCCTAGCAATCATCATTTCCTCACAAACTTTTTAGAACAACGGATAACAGATGAAATGAAGTTTTTGTGTTGAATGGTTCCTCTTCGAAATGGGTTAACGCACTCGACTTCCACTTCTAACTTTCTTGAAACATGATTGCGCCTTCAGCCAGTACACTGACTTGACCAGACGATGTATAGCCCAGTTAATTCATCCTCCTCGGTTTTAGTTCTAAATGATGGCTCCCGGAGGAATGAGGGCTCTGTTGGATGAAAGCCCTAGATCGCGAGGATCGCTGCAGAAACGGATCTCTGTATTTTGTTTTTTACAACATTGAAGCTCATCGGAGAAAGCACATAAGACATGGAACAGTGCGTTCGCAGTTCTGGCTAAAACAAGAGCAATACAGAGCAAATCTTCTTTTTTCGTCCTCAGTCTAACAGATAGGAATGTTTCGGGGAGTAATCAAGTGACAATCTCTAGAAAACAAAATAACGCCGCTGGCAGAAATTCAATGATCCTCACAATCCACACCTACGTCGTAGAATTCCTCACTAATGCGAACAAATAATGGGGAAGAAATGACTTTTACCGTATCATCGCAAGAGTATAAGAATTGCCTAGAACCGTTGTCTCTGCTTTCAAAAAAATCGAGTGCGACACTTTTCTTTATTACGAGATGCATATGAATTTACGAAAGCCTGTTTCCACACAGCTGAGCTGATCTATACTTTTTGTTCCCCCGAACATAGTGCTGATTCTATGCGGTTAGTGTTCAGAGTGTCGCCTCAACCGGAAGCTTGCGTGCGAGCCACTGAACGCAGACGAAAAAATGAGTTGCTTTCAGTAAGCACAGCTCTAGTGCTAACTAGCTGAAAAGTTCTCAGCCTATGCTCAGTACCTGACAGTGATATATGCTGAGCAGCAATAAAAATGGGAATAGTACTCTAGTATCAGACAATGACCTCAATAAAGCAGCGTTGAGAAGATCACTCGTGAGGGATTCCAATTCACAAGGGTATCAGCAGCCAATAAATTCTCTCCATTCCCAACCCATAAGGGTGGCCAACAGCAGTTTCAATGCATTACTTTGCACCAGAGCTTGTAATGCAGATGTGCCGATACACTTGGGAAGAATTAGGAAGAAATAAGATCATCGTCGGATTCACCAGACGGGAATGCGCCGCACTCCGCTTACAAGACTAGAGAACAGTTTCTCGGAACA